ACCATTGATCATTACGTTCAGTAGATTGTAAAGTACAGATCTTAACAAAATGAATTAGTATATCAAATTAAAGATATCTAATAGTTTATTTACTGTTGAATAATACCATAATTATTCATGACTGAATCAAGAAATTTTTTATTTTCGGCACTATCATCAATAACATCAGCAATTGTACTAATAATCTATAAATATCGAAATATATATTGATTGAAATAACGAACTTAAACTCACTTGAATAAGTATTCGCATTGGTACATTTGCCAGTTTCAGAATAACACACATATTTTGTAAAATATCTTAGAAAAGATATGAGAAAGTTTTACATAAAAAGAAACGAAGAAGATGATCATCTTTGATTTATAAATTAAGGAAGGGTCCATAAAAAACCGATCAAATATATAAACTATTTTTCTCTCGAAATATATACAAAAACGATCATTTTTTAATGAACATGTATATATCTTTCATCTATAAATGTGTCTCTCAAAAACCATTTACCATGAGAAGAAAGCTCGTGGAAAATTGCTTCTTTTCCTACATAGATCAATAAGATAAAATGTAGAGATCTTCTAGAATGTCTGGATACAACTATAACCACTGCATGGATTTTTTAATCCTTCTGCTTTCCCTAAAAATGAAACGCATCAGATGTCAAATCCATATGCTGCTGGATCAATAGAATGTGAGTATGAATCGATTAGAATTTCACAACCAATCTTTTTGCTAGTAATTTCATATTATTCCAATAAGTTTTTATCAGTAATTTGAATTCAAAATACTACTTTTAGCTTCTTAGCTTCCAAATTATCATCGAAACTCCCATATATATATATTGTTCATATCTTTGTACATCAAGATTACTTTCAATTGTCAGCTAGTCTTATTAAATAGAGCATTGGATTTAGTATGAATTTCTATTAAAAAATCACTCTACTACAAAATATTTGGCGGTGCATTCTATAAGTCAATTGATTAGTGATCTCTACCATATGAAATGACTAGTGTTCTACTCGTTCACGTTCTGAGTGTTAGAGATCTATTCGACTCTATTCGTACAAGCCTTTATATACCTATCGATATACCTGTTCAATACCTAACAAATCATATATTTATTCAATTCTAAGAAACCATGTTGATCCACGAAGTGCAAAGCATCAAATTCTATAAACGTAACTTTGTATGGTTTTTATTGATGTTTAGCGGATTTCCGATTAACAACTAACATTTAACGGAAATTAGTAATATATATAGGAACAGTCTGAAAAACTAGATTGACTTATTCGTATCTTACGTGTTTCTCTTGAGTTTTTCTTCCAGAAAATATCATCCAAAACGCTTTGCAGAATTTAAATAAATCAGGCATCTCATGTTAACACTTCTTTAGCTTTTTTGCTCACTTTCAAGTTCAACTTTTACGAACATTTCATAGGCGTTCATCTTAAATTCCATCGTTCAAATCATATCTGGACAGAGTTTATTCATTGTCTGGCCAGTTTCGGTGCATTATAACCATATTTTTTCGTAAGAAGACTTCGCAAAATATTTGACTAACACATGTGTGGATCTACACTTCGATGCTACTTCTAAATATTTTATTATTTTTATTAAATGCTAGTTCTCTAACTAGAAATCCGCTGAACATCAATAAAAACTATAGATGATTATGTTTATAGAGCAATATACTTTAAACTTCTTTGGTAAATATTGTTAGTCGAGCTTAGAAAAACATGTCAATTTATATTCATTGAAAAGTTCTATCGAAACGTATAAAAACTTTCTCAAGGGACAAAGGATTTCATTGCTCATTGATTTTTTTCCTCTCTTCCAAAGTATTTCTTTTTTGAATTTCTTCTTACCATATTGCCTAATTGCACGTTGATAATCAATAATATTATGTTTAGAATTTGTTGGTGATGTTAGTGTTTGAATAATCTTAATATATACGAAAAAAAAAAGAATATTTGTAATTCTTTTAAAAAATAGATTTTATGTTTTTATTTTTTACCTGTAATAACAGATGAATATTTTCCATCTTTTGTGGTGACCAGTATTCATCATGAATAAAATCGATCTTGAATAATTTATTTAAACATTTTAGATAAGGTAGTTCTTGAATTGGATGTTCTTTAAAATAATTTTGATTTATTGTATTATCTTGTAATAGATTTAATAAAACAGATAAACACTCTTTAACAGTAACACCTATTTATAATAGATGTGAAAAATTCGTATATGATTTAAAAAAAACAACTCTTATCGACTTACTTTCATCATCATAATCTTTTCTATCAAATATATCAAATAAACGTTTAAAACCTTTTTGACGTACAATTGATACTTGTATAGGACGATGATTACGAGTTAAGTTTTGCAAAAGACGTAATTCCTATTAAATCAATTAAATAATGATTTCCTTCAGTTAAATTAAATACTTACATCAAGTGCAAGATTTTCATGTTTGTCTTTTAAAATATAAACTAATTTTGAAATGCCAGATGGAGTTTCAAAAATAATATTTTGTAATTCTTTCATACAATTGATGGTAATTGCAGTTAGGAACTGAATAGCTGCACGTCGAACAATAAAATCACTTTTCTAAAATTATTTTTCAATATCAGAAGATCTTTTACTATCGAAAAACTCTTACTATGATATATTCAAGTAATACATGAACATTTTCTTTATTATCGATGTACATTTCTAGAATAAAAACAAACTCTTTCATTTATGTTTCTTTTTTTTGTAATCAAAGAGAAATTCTACCTGTCAATTCAACAAGAAGATCTTTGGTAAATCCAATTGTTCTAGAGAACAAACAAATATATCAAAACAAAACAATAGACCATAAGTAAGAGCATACCTTTATCACTAGTAATATCATGTGTTACCAAAGTACTTAATGTTTCAAGTGTTACTTGAATAAGATGAGTATCAGCTGTACCATGTAAAATATTTGCCAATATTTTCATACTTTTTATTCCAACTTCAAATTTATATTTCTATTAAGTTTCCGAATAGAAATATATTTGAGAAATAAAAATCTTTTTTTTACTAACTTTAGAAAGTTCTCTAATATTGTTCATTGATCATTTGAACGTTTGAATGTTGTTAATTGATGAATGAGATTGTCAATCTAAAAAAATGAAAGAATTTGTGCAAGTATAAGAACAATATTGGCACACGATGTCTTTTTTGGATTTTGTGGAAAAAAAATCAACTAAATACTGGTAGAGTAGATATACAGGGTGCGCCAAAAGTCACTTTACTGGAAAAAAATTGAATATTTCTATTACGATTTCGAGCAAAAGAGCTGATTTTTTTATCAATGATAGAGCCATGTTCAAGCTTTATACCCATAAAGACATATCTAGAGAGATCCCTTGTTAAGTGTATGGTTTTTTTTTCCTGTCTGTGAAAAATTAAATTTTTTTTGTTGAAATCAATAGTTATACTTAACAAAGGATCTCTCTAGACATGTTTTTATGGATATAAAGGTTGAACATGCCTCTATCATTGATAAAAAGATCAGCCTGTTTGCTTGAAGTCGTAATGGAGATATTCAATTTTTTTTCGGTAAAGTGACTTTTGGCACACTCTGTACTAAATATAGAATATCTAGGAGATGTAGGAAATGTCGGAAATATAGCGGATATAGTAGACATGGAAGATACGGTACATATAGGAGATCTTCAATGTATAAAAGACATGGACAATACAGTAGATATAAATGGCATTGTGTTGATTTAGTATTTTTCTTTCAACAAAACAGAAAGTTGTAAGAACGAGAAAAAGAAACATTTTTTTATTGCAATATCGAATATTTCACTGATGTTGGTCCTTATATACTTCATCTTTTTCTCGGATTCACAATAAATAGCTTCGTACGACGCCTGATATTGTTCTATCTAAATACATTTTATTAGAAAAACAAAACAAATCAAAAGATGCAGCATGAAAGCTCTAAGATCTATGAAATAAAGCTTATTTTAA